TGACCTTCAGAAACTCCTAACTTTTATGTCTTTATGTTTGTATATTTGTAAAGTGCTTTGAGTCTCACAGGGAGAAAAGCGCTATAAAAATTGCAAATTATTATATTCGTATTATTATCCCGTAAAGAGTAAATGGCGTAGGGATTGGTTGAGAGATCTAAGTCAGTTCCTGGTTGAATTTGACATCATTTGAAGAGTATTATGATGCAGGACTTTGTTGTAAAAAGAGCAGTATTTGCACAATTTGGAGAAATTACCCATATTAATCAATGCCTTTTTAAACAGTGGTATCCAAACTAAGGAGAACTGAGATTAGAAAACACTGAAGCCAAAGACTTTAGAAGGGATGATAACATAAAATAATTTTATGGAAGATAATCCATTGCATGTTGATACCTAATAATTATTTTATTTCTGACACTGCTTATTTTAACAATTAATATTTTTGTATAAGCTTTTCAAATGATTTAATATGTTTGTATAAACGTTTAAATGGTTTGTTCAAAATTTTAAACTATCAAAAAGAATATCAATATATAAAAATATTATATAATATAAAGATATTTTTCAAAATATTAAATCAATTGAAAGGCTTATCCAAAATCTTAAGTCAAGTCCATAATAAGTTATACAGAGGAGAATCAGTCTGATTGAGCAAGACAGTGACAAACTGATTGGCATTACATACATCCCTGTAAGGTGTGGGTGGCTGTATTTAGAGTGTTGATATCATATAGTTTCATGGGAAACCATGAGGTCATCAAGGCTATGGGACTCATTAAGCAGTGTTTATATTCTGAAACACCATCCAACTTACGATCTTTTACAAAACCATAGTATTGTTTGTGTTTAGACTCATATGTTCATGATATGATCTTGTTACATTATTACACACCTGTGCTTCTAAAGTAATTCTTTCTGTTCTTTATTAATTAAAATAACAATATCATCATTTTAAGTAGTCCAGTATTTTGCAGAATTAAACCTTTTTTAATTCTCTTAAATCGTGTCATTTCCTTTAATTACCATTACGATTTCTATACTGTTAGATTACGGAATTTTTTTTTTTCATGTTTTGGTGCAAAAAATATATGTATAATCAGAGTACGTGGGACTAAAGTATTGCTACACTGTATTACCCAAAACATAGAGTTATAATTGTTCCTGAATGTTTTAGTTGGTGGGATTGGCTGAAAGTCTCAGCAGCTTACCGTGTAAACAGGTTTAATAATTGCTCCAAACACAATAGTTTAAGTTGCTCATTCCAAAAGGAGCGCTATAGTCAATCAGACCACTTCATTTTAATGAAGTGATCTGGGTGCAGTGGTCATGTACCCTTAATTCTACAATGTAAAACATTGCAGTTTTTTTTAGAAACGGCAATGTTTACATTGGAAGGTTAAGTCCTCATCTAGTTGCTGTCAGTGAAACAAAGTCAAGTCACGCAGAAGCCTCATAGGAAAGCATTGATTCAATGAAAAAGATTGAATCTGTGCGGCACTCACCATGCATGCTCTTTAGGTTGCCTATGAGGAGCATTGGATTGGACCATACCAGAGGAGGCCATGCCTCTTCGGTGACGGCTCCTGGGGAGGAGAGGTCAGCAGTGCCGAGGGATCCTCAGTGCTGGAAATAGTTAAGTAAAACTCATTTTTTTCTAAATGGGGGGGATCTATTTAGAGCTAGGGAGACGGTCATGGTAGTGTTTGGAATGCAAGTTTGTATTCTAACACTATAGTGTTCCTTTAAGGCCAGTCCTGCCAGGAGATGTAAAGCCTACTTAATCTCACCAGCCCCAGCACGTCATTTCTGCCTGTTAAGAATCTTTCTTAATCACTGTTTTTGCTTTTTTTAATCACAGGTTGAATTACAGAACTGCTTATCAATCCTGTGCACATACATCATTGACATGCCCCTTCTCTTCTGCCTCCTTCCATAATAATCACATACCCTCCAATGAGAATGTTTTTAGGCTTGTTGCAATTACCAACAAGCGGGTAAAATGGCTGTTGGTGAAATTAGTAACTCATGGATTTCTCCATGTTACATAAGGTCACTGTTATCATTAATAGTAGATGGCATTAAAGGGTTACTCCAACCCTTATAATTTTTTTATTACTTTTATTAATGCTCTCTTGAGTATGATTCTTTTGGTCCTTCCGCCCCATAATGCTTGAAAAATGCAGTAAAATAAGTTTTACTTACCTGCAATCCAGCGCCATGCAAAACTCCTGTTGTCGCTCCTGCTTCCTACCATTGTACAGTCCGATTAAAGTCTTCTCAGACTTGTTGAATATGCTTGTTGATCAGGTAAGGGTTGGGAAGAGTGAGTGGGTAAGGAATCTAAAAAATAACTAAACCGTGCTGATAGGTTAGTAGGAGGGCTGCTGGGAGGGCTGCAAGGAGAGATGGAGGGGAGACATAAGACTTCAATCAGATTACGCCTGTCACATAAATTAACATTTGGCAGTCCAGAACAGGGTTTCAGGCTACCAAAGTGTTCTGTGACGTGGGGTGTAACTAGCTTCTGGCAAAGTATTCTGAAACACTGCACTGCCAAATTTCTTGGCCATGGACTTTGGAGAAACCCTTTAAGCTTTAACGTAGTAAAATAAATACTCAGAAGATTGACTCTCTCTGGACTTTTAAAGTAAGTATAAAATGTAGCATTTATCTAAAATCTAAAAGTATATAGAAACACCGCAATGACCACAAACATCGTGTAAACATTAAAGGCCAATAAGTGCAAACATAGGATGTCCATCACCTTACATGTTTAATACTTAGCTCTTATTCATAGGTTTACCATAGTAGTTCTCAGTAACACTAGGTTTCGATTCTAGATCTTAAAAATTACCAACAAGTTTGAAGCAGTCCCTAACTTACGCAAATTTATACATAGTTCAGCTTGGCTTAAAGCCGAAAAAAGTTAATTGCAAACTTTCAATTCATCCTATGGAATAAAAGAAAGACATGTATTCCATACATTTAAGAATCATCCATAAGAATATTGTAAGTAGTTATGAATTAACTGTCAAATGTCAAAAGTCCTTTGAATGGAAACACTACTGGGTTTAATCCCAAAAGAGCAAATTGTACTGAACTGAAAAACAAAGTGTTATGCATAAAATTTACGACAATTCACTGTTTAGTAAATAAACCCCAATGAGTAACTTGTACGGTGGAGCTGTTGTGACAAGTAATTAGAAGATGTTCCTTCTTTGAGCACCCTGCAAAATAATAAGCACTAACTGGTGGTGTTAATGGACAGAGAACTAAGCAATGTGCAGATTACAAAACACAAAAACCCTTCTGTATTTTTTATTTACATATATGTGTTGATCTCAATGTTAAAGATGCTTACATAGGTCAATATCTGTCTTTTATTGATGATCATGGAAAAGGCCCTTTGTTGGGCAGTATAGATTTCTCTCCTCGCTTGTTAAAGATATGTCATTACTATTATACATGAAATACAGGTATAAAAAAAAAAATTCACAATTACAACAAGGTTTGTTATTTTGTAAAAAAAAAAAAAGAAAAAGATCAATACAAAATATTGTGAGGTTAATATATATTTCAGCAACTTCAAAATTGCAATAATATAGCGATTGGGGAAAATGAAATAGACACTGCTCTGCAAATAGCCAGAATAGCATCTAAAACATCGCTATCGATCTTAAAGCAACTTTGCAGTTAGTATAAATTACATTAAAACCTGTAGAACATTCTACTTTATTTGTGATCGTCCTTTGCAGTAAATGAAAAAGTTAATGTTGTGGATAATTACCAAGAACTGCTGTCTGCAAAAACACAAATATCAGCACATAGTTTTTCGGGAAGTATCTGTTGCCTGACATACTGCTCCGTCACTTTAATTCTGGGGAAAAATACAATTTAAGTTAGTTACCAAGTAGAGCTAAAGGAGAATTGAAGATGAGAAGAAACCAGATTTTAGACCAGAGTTAGGCAGTTTTGACACTCCAGATGTTGTGGACTACATCTTTCATAATGCTCTTACAGACATAATGCTGGCAAAGCATCATGGGTGATGTAGTTCACAACATCTGGAGTAATGAAGGTTTCCTACCCTGGGTTAAGTTATTGGAGTGCTAGAGGGGGGAAAAAAAGGTTGAAGAAGTTGAGAGCGCAATTATATAGTGAGTGCTGGGTGCTTTATGGGAAAATCTGTTCCCCCACCAGATCCATTCACATTTTAGAGAATAACCCAAAGCACACCCGATTAAACTTGCAGTTTTAGATTTTAGTTAATTAATGATTTGATAAAAATTGTACAAATAAAGTGCAAACAGCAATATAGGCATGTAAACAGAAAATTACATACCTACATACATAACAAATACAAAATAAGTGCTCAGTTAATAAACCCACAAACCCATAACAATATAGGCATACTAACCCAGAGCAGGAGATACAGCAACTCCAACATTCTGGCGTCTAACCTTCCTCTAGGTGGATCTTTAAGATCATTAAGATCCCCCTTGAGGAAGACTAGATGCCGAAACGCTTATCCAGTTGGCAGCCTTGGATTTTTTTTACTGGCTTTGGGGTGTCCTAAAAGTACCTGGCAATTTGCTTCTTAGAAATAATCTAATGTATTCTTTTTTTTTTTTTCTTCTTTTTTTATCTGAGAGACTTTGCAAGTATCTTCCAAGCATTCAAGCCAAACATGTAATGCTTAATAACATTAAATTAATGCTATGGCAGTTTAAATAAAACACACTTAATATGTAAGTGATTGTTGTGTTATATATATTGCATTTATATGACCTTTTCCACTAATAGCAAAATGTTAATTGGAAAAAATTATGACAAATAATATAGAACAAAAGTAAGATATAATGGAAAACAATTGCAAGTTGTAATAAAATGTCATTTATTAAAGGATTTTCCTTAAAGCACATTTTAATAATCAATATTCGTAACTCTTTCTACAGTAGCTCTGTTATGTTGATTGTTTTTACAGCAAACTCTGGATTGTGTTAACAATAGTTACTGCGTTAGACTTTGAAAAAAGTTGTCATGGCTAAAATATTGAATGCTTTATAACGCTAAATAATTGCATTGATATTAAACCAGCATTTACACCGATATGTCATTGACCAATTATGAGTATATAATAAATACTGTGAACACCTCGATACATGGTTGACAGCTTTAAAATAAATTTAAATAGGATCCACTGAACCATTTATCCTTGGATCTGTTAACATGGCTGAGCATGGAAACATATAGTCTGGGTCCATTACCCTGCTTGAGCCAATATAATGCAACCATATGCTTAGTAAGATTCATTTTCAGTGAATTTGTACTATTTAGTCCCTACAGTAACATTAGTTATGATACAAAATATTGCAGAACACCAACACACACATCAGGCTAAAATGGCAGTTCTTGAGATACACAGCTAAGTTTGAGAATCAATTTCAACTTTTGGTCTAAAATTTGGAATACCTTATTCAGGGAATAACCCTATATATGTTTCCTACTACTCATACACTTCTCTGCTTAGCTGTCCTTTTAAATATAACCTTCTGCTCTCACATAGCTAACCACACAGATTACAAAAACATCTTTCATTACTCTACATACACCCACCTGTTTCTTGTAAACCTTGTCTCATAATATATTACCATTCACATATCCCCCCTCTAAGCACACTTACATTGTCTCCTGATACGCTGCACTTCGCATACATGTCTACCTAACCATTGTTCTTTCTAAAATACTTACCTTTTCCACATCCTTGGAGCTGTAATTCTTACAGATTTTTTCTTTTTAAACTAAGGAACATAAATATCTTCTGCCCTCCCGCCATCTGCCCTACGCTAAAATCTTAGATCACACTTTCCCTATTGATATTTCTTTGCGTATTTTATTCCCCTAAAGTTTTGAGTATGTTCCATTTATTACAAACTGTGTAATTAATGGAATATACTCAAAGCATCTCTTAGAATGTCCTAGTTTACTCACAGGTATTAATATAATACTGATTTATTTAATTCCATACCTCAATCATGACACATCACAATCTGATTGTAAGTCAATGCTATCTCAATGCTTGCGTCCCTCTAATTCTCTCTCACCTGTCCTCTCTCTCACTGTTTGTTCATTCTCTGATATGTTCTGCTCACTATTGTCCGGGAGTCATGTCCTCACACATGAGGACTACATCTATAAATGTTTAAAGTTGAACAGGAAATTGTGGGGAGAGGAGGTGGCTACAGAAGATCTGAATGTCAGCGACACAAGAGTTTTTGTATGACGTGGTATTTCTTTGCTTTTTTTCTCATTTGAAAGAAAATGTATTCTTCTAGAGTTCTTAGAGCATATATTTAAATATTGTCTCAAACAGGTCTGCCTTATTTTAGTTAGTAATCTGGGGCACATCAAGATATAACACTGGATTATGCCACCACTATTCCACTCATTGGTAAATATATAGCATTGATCAAAGTGGTCAACACCTGTATTGATTACTGTGACACTGGTAAAACTAAACATATCAGTATAGACATCATCACTTTATCTAGAGTGTTCAGAGTCTGTAAGAAGGCTGTAGCCAAAGTAAGAATTATTCGCTTGCAAACATATAACTATTTGCTTTCATTGAAGCAGAAACAAAACTTGAAATTGTGAATGTTCTTTTCAAAGTAGGTTGAAGACTAATGACCTGGAATGTTAACTGTAGGATTATGCTTAGTTGAAGGAACACTATAGTGTCAGGAATATAAATGTGTATTCCTGACACTATAGGTCTAAATAGCTGTTTAGGTCCCTGGCCCCCCTTACCTCCAGTTAAAAAGGTAATTTACTCAGCGTTTTCCATCGCCACGCTGGTCTGGTCATGGCTGGCCCATCCACTCTCTGCCCCTTGGCTAAAATCATCAATTTTAACAATCTCAGGCAATCCAATGGTTTCTCAAAAGCATTGGGAGGATATTGCGCATGCACCAATCAGCATCTATTCATAGAAATGCATTGACTTAATGCGTCTATATGGGGAATGTTCAGGGCCTCTATGCAGAGCGTGGAGATGCTGAAGGTCAGTGCTGCAAATTGTGCAGCACTGACCCAGGGGGCACCTCTAGTGGCCGTCTCAGTGACTTCCCTTGGAGGTGTGCCTAGGCAGCAAGGTAAACACTGCATTTTCTCTGAAAGACAGTGTTTACATTAAAATACCTGCAGGGACAGGCTGTAGACACCACAACAACTACATTCAGCAGTAGTTGTTCTGGTGACTATAGTGTTCCTTTAAATTTTTACCTTAAAGAGGGTTTTATCAAAGGGTTGGGATATGAAAAGTAGTGCAAAGTTGTAAAAGTGGAGCATTCACAAATTGAATGTTCCTGCTAAATCCAGGAGTTTCCATGGTGCCTGCCTCACTTTTGGAACTTTTCAGACCACAACACTCTAATCCTACAGTACTCATATCTAATTGCTTCTGTGTGTTCTACCTGAGATCGGTGAGAATCGCATGCCTTAATCAGCCTTGATCAGGTGTGGACAGGAAGTAGCTGCTACAGAACTACAAATCCCACTATGCGTTACCTAGCATCATGGCTGTTAAAGCAACATGAGAACTGTCGTTCTGCAACAGCTGGTAGTCCGTATAATAGAGGATGGAGATAAAAACATGGAAGGGTTGTGAGAAATGTATGAACGCTCCCAAATGGCTGCAAATGATTCCTGAATTCAGGTGTCAGTGGTATTAACTCATCCATGTGGATAGGAAACATGCATTTCTGATCATTGTCAGCACACCTGATACCAGTGGCTACAGTTAAATTACATAATTATTGTTATTTATATTGTGCCACATGTTGCAGTGATACATACACTAAGTGAAAAGTGCATCTAAAGCTATATTGACAGACCGGTACATATAGAGCTAGTTTGATAAACAGATACATATAGGTTCATTCAGATGTTATATGTTATGATGTCATATGATTTAACAGCCAACCTGAGAGTTTGATAAATATTCAACTCTTAAACTAAACTAGACTAAAAGCTAAATATAGCATGAAGGGTCTTACAGTCATTGAAGTGCTAGAACTCTGTTACTGTTGAATATAGCCCCAACATATATGACCTATAGAGGAACATGATGAAAAAAAAACATTTGCATAATCTTTTAATTTCTGCATGTCCCTTTTTTACAGCCTACAATTAATTATTTACAAACTGAACGTTCCTTCTGATGCACACTGCCTCAGGCCTGCTAATTATATCGTTCCCTTATATTGTGTCAAATTGTGCATGAACTGACAAGGGATTGGTCCTTAGCAACCTGGTTGCCAGAGAAACATCAAAAGTTTCATAAATATTTGTAATTGCATTATATGATTAACAGACTTGAGGAAATAAATAAAAAAACAACAACAATCTCACTAGCATTCCTCCTAATGATTTTATTTATGAGCTCCATAAAACCCCAAAAAATTAAAATGAGATTTGTTTCTGCATTTATTAATACAATATACATGTAATATATATATACTAAAAATAAGCATAAATAAATAATATAGCAGGCCATAGTTCCGAAATGCCATTTCTCAGATTTGTGCAAAATGTGGGATAGTAACATGCAGGCTTTAGAGACAAATGAACAAAAGTGCATATATGGGAAAATAATCTGATATAGCAAACAGAGTGCTTACAATAGTGTAAAGAGTGAGGCAAGCGTAAACCTTCTTGATTTACAGAAAACTCAAGCGTAGATGAAACATAAAAGAGAACAAAAATACAAATATAGTGTAAATGGTACCAAAGAACAATAATAATATACACTACATTTGTATTTTTGTTCTCTTTTTTTGTTTAATCTATGCTTGAGTTTTGTGTAAAATTAAGAAGGGGTAGTAGGCTTACTCCCCTGTTTACACTATTGTAAGCACTCAACTTTTTTGCCATATCAGATTGTTTTCACTTGTATACACTTTTATTTGTTTTTATCATATTTGGTAAAGAAATGTTACGTATGTTTTGAGCCGCATTTGATCGGATTTGTAATAAATTTTAAACAAATCAATCATATTAACAAAACAGAAGATCTGGATAACATAAAAAATAAAATGTACATGAACAATAAATTCCAGCCTACAACGAGACAGGCAAAACAAATAGCACAGAAAGGAGTCAAAGTGAGTATAGGTGAAAAGAAGAAGCTAATAAAATCCCCCCAAGAAAACAAGGGAGGGAAAACTCGTTGGAAAAATTCTGGCTCCTGTCATTATTAAAATTAAGATTATTAGTACACTAAAGCTAGCATATTTTACGGTGTAATACCCCAACACGCAGCAAGGGATAGTAAGCGACAAGACAAGGATATAACGTATTACTAGACCTTAGAATAGCTGGACTAAACGTTAGACAGAGATAAAGTGAAGTCAGACACGAGCCAAGGTTAGGGTAATGGAGAGACAGTGAAAACAAGAAAAGCTGACGAATGTAAAGCCTGTTATTAGGGGGCCAGTACCGCAAAAAATTGAGAACATTACTAAAGTCCCAAAGCCTATAGTATTTAGGGTCCGGTGGATGTCTGAGATGCATCCCCAGCAGCAAAAAACAAACAAAGGAGTCCTTGTTAACCAAAACTTCCCGAAATGGAATGTGAGCCCCCAAAATAGCTGAACGAATAATGTAAATAGACCGATAGGACCGGCCAAAAGAAAAAAGAAACAAAATTTAAAATATGTATAGGTGCAGTAAATAGATTGTGGTTCCGTTCCATGGATGGCTCCTCCATAATGGAGTGATCAGCTTCAAGGACACCCGTTGACTCCGGATACGATGGGGTCTCCTCGTGATCATTGTGAACGGTAGAAAGGGGTAGGCGCCCTATGCTTGCCAACTCTGTAGGAAGCGTCCGCTGCCTTGCACTCCGGGTCTGGCAGCCAACTGAAGATCCAAGATGGGAGATCCAAGATGGTCGCCACCTGAGAAGGCTGCAAGGAGCCATGGGCTGGCTGGTGCCGAGCACCATAAGCGGGCGCGGCAGTGAGGGAGGCCACAGACGGATGAGGTCAAGGGTAAACCCAGTGGGAAAGGGAAAAAATGCTGAAAAATACCAGAAAATAAGCCCAAAAGAAACACCAACCGCCTCAACACACAGAGCAGGCCAGGGGGGAACAGGGAGACCCAGAGCAACAAGCAAACGGTAAGAAGGGAAAGTGCAGTAAGATGCAGTAAAAGATGGTTGACACAATAAACAGAAAAGGTAAAAAGTAAACAAGAAAGGACAGAATAGACAGTAAATGTTGATAAACCATAAAACCAGATAGCTAACGAACCATAATAATGAGCATTATACAATAATAGTGAAGAGCCAAAAACTCTAACCTGTCTGCTGATGGAGACCTGTCTATATGTTTTCTTTGCCACTGTGGAGCTAGTAACGAGAGTTTATGCAAAATAGGAAGCCTCCTGTCATGTTGTAAAATTGTCCCCCTGCCCTGGTGCAACTCTGTCTGGGGACTTAATTACATTAACCCAAGCTTCCACAAATGGCTCCATGTGGCACTCTCTTAGTTATAGAGGCCCAATAAATGTCCCCAAAACTCCCCCCACATAATATATATCCATGGAGAGCATGTCACCAAGTGCCCTCGCTGTCCAAATAATGCCCTGATAAGCGAATCCGTGCCTGAATTACAGCATGTTAAATTTCTTCCGGGTCACGACTATTCTTTAATCCATCATGGATGTGTATCAGTTTAGTCCTGGTCTACAAAAAGGCATTCCTGGACCTCTAGGGAGGGGAGGTCTCCAATGTCTTTTGCCCCAACCGCCCTCGCGAATCCAGTGATATCTACTTAAACATTGACTGAAATTCAGCACTTTCCATCTGAAGAATTCTTCCAGAGTGTTTCAGGGTGTCTCTCAGTCAAGTTCCTAATGTGTAAAACAAGTCCAGGTGATCCCCAGAGGTCCTCCAGTGGGACAGTAAGCGTCTCAGGCCCCAACAACCCAATGACAATTGTCCCTTTTAGGGATCTTGGGCAGAATGCTGGCCTTAAAGCCTCTCCAAACATTTGTGGCACAACAACTTCCATCACAGAGGGACCCTATCCTTTTAAATATTTGATATTCTCAAATAAATGTTTTGCTCAAATCCAAGATTTTATAGACTTAGATACTTCTAGACCATATACATATACAACACTTCAATCAAAAGATTCAACTAACATACCTAACAGTCATCCTTTATGTTACATACTATTGACTTCAAAGCAGTGAAAGGTCCTAACTTGTATTTGACCAAGGAGAACATTTACCCTGGGAATCAATCTGGGTTCTGAACTGGCCACCATGAGTACAAGAGTCAGTGGACACAGTGTCAAGATTCTCTCCGAGGCCTGGAGATGGATATAGAACACGCTTTGCCGGACTGCATTTATAGTCTTGCACAGAGGTATTTCCCACCAAAGACATTGGCTAACTCTGTCTAACAAATGACATTGACTACATATTTAATTTGAGGCTGTAGCAGACTCTATTCCCTTGTGTTCGGTTGTCCGTCTCCCAAATGACTGGTGTGTGTTCTGCCTTGTTATGCCCCAGTGAACACCGACCTCCCCTGAATGTTAACCACAAATTAACAACGTCACACATTAAGTCGAGTGCTTTCCCTGGGTGGCCCTGATTGGTATAACCGAACGCACATGGTCCAGTGCATGGTGGCCATTT